CACCTGCTGTCATTGAACAGGTAAAATAAATAGATAAATGATGACCAATTAGTTCAAATGTCAGCTTTAAACATACAGACATAATCGCAAATAAAGTAAAACACTGACAAATCAAAAACATCTCACTCAGTGTGTACAAAATTGATTTGACAAAAACCACCTCCTAGTCAGGTGTGAAAACATCTTATAATTTGTTCATGTGATTATTTGTGTTGGAAGAGAATTCCATAGATTTGTGGCTTAATAATTAAAAGAAGATTGACCAAAAGGTTTAACGTCTAGGGACAATACATTCCCCTCTTTCCAGAGAATGTGTCACTCGCGATAATGTGGAATTAAATGTTTTTTAACGATGGAGCAGAAAGATTGTGAATAATTTTAAAAACAAAACAAATATTGGAATATTTAATAATAATATTATTAAAGCTTAAGAAACTTTTTAAAAAGATATTAAAGTAATGGTAGAACCAAGGCTTTTATCATGAATTTTAAGTGCTCTCAAGTATAATGATTCTAACGGTGTTAAAGACGATTTGCATGCCTGAGACCAGCTCGTTATAGTACAACAAATGTGGAACTATCATAGTATTTAAATACATACCAGAGACATCATAGGTCATATAGGTCAAAATCTCTAATATGTATAAAGTTTCTCAGATTGAATGTCAGTGTGGTGGCAAGTTTTTCAGTTTCAGTATGAGTTTTAAAATTAAGTTCAACAGATGATTCATCGGAAAAATCTACCTTCTGCCACTTTTCCAAATGACAACTAGAAGTCAAGTCATTATTTGTTACTCTTACAACTGGGATCGACAACAAGACTTTTGTCAGGATAGAGTATATGGATTACAACAAACCCCTAACGCAAAACCCAGAAATCCTGTGGCAAATTTTGAATGTCAAAATAATTCGTCACATAATTATAAGGTTCTCTGACATTTTTGTCAAAATTAAGTTATTGACATATTCTTATTAAATGACAACGTATTTACATTATGGGATGTTTTTTTTATAAGTTGTTTTTATTTTAAGACTTTTTAGTTAAAAAACTAATGTTACACACATACTGTTTGCTATATGAAATGCAAAAACTTTGAAGCGCAATATCTCAGAATAATTCAGAACGCAGATAGAACCTTATAATTCCAAAGTGATGAATTGCAGCAGTTACAAATTGTTTGTAATGCTCAGAAAAATTAAAATGGTGAGATTTGTTTTGGAAAAATAAACATTACCCCTTTTCACGCAGTTATACCAGCCTGATCTCACGAGGAAACGTAAGTATTTTACGTTTTGTTAGTTTAGTGGCTGAATTCAGTCGTACGAAAATGTATAATTTTAAAAAAGAGGCGTGGCACCCAACAACACCCCTAACCCCAACCGTCATAGGGTGTTGAGCAAATCGTACTAAATTGTACGAATTAGATCTTACGAATTCATACGAATTAGCCACTGAATCAAAAAGTTCCGAATTGCCATGAGATTGTGTTGGTTATACCAGTAAATATCATAAAAATTTCCAGAACGACTTTAAAGTAAATAAAAAAAAAAAAAGTTAAATTTATAAAGGACCTTCCGTAATTTGTCCGGAGAAGCACCGTAGTGTGAAGCATCCACCTTGATGATATGATGGCAGCCACAGGACAATGGTGCCAATGCGCTTACCACACACCAGCTATTAGTGGAGTGGAGAGGGAGTGAAAGAGCCAGTTCGGTGGATGGAGATGATTGAGAGGCCATGATGGGTAAGGTCCGATGGAGGAAATTTGTCCAGGACACCGGAGTTACACCCCTACTCTATAATGAGAAGTGCCAAGAGATTTTTAATGACCACAGTGAGCCAGGACCTCGGCTTAACGTCCCATCCGAAAGACGGCGCCCACTGACAGTACAGTGTCTCCTTCACTATAATAGGGCATTAGAACTCAGAACGCAGGTTAGGCACCCCCTGCTGGCATCACTAACACCACTTCCAACAGCAACCTAGTTTTCCCAGGAAGTCTCCCATCCAGGTACAGACCATGCTCAGCTCTGCTTATAATATATAGCCCTGTGGTTACTCTCTAGTTCTAAAGATGAAAACAATCATGCCCAATAGTTTTCGTAAAAATGGCAAACTTTATTTTCTACATGTACAAAAGAAAGAACAGGATAGCAGCTTGCTTATATGGACAGCAACATTTCCAGCACTCTTCCAAGTCAGGAAAAATACAACCGAGATGAAAAGAAAATGTACAACATATTTAAACTTACTCAACCCAACAACCTGCAAGGAATTAGAAGTGGTTAATTAAAAAAACAGAAAGAATGGAAAAAACATCCTTCGTCATGCTCATAAACATGAACGTCCACAGAGCTACTAGCTAATATAGCATCTTGCCCATGCACATTTATAAAAATATGTCAAGGCTGAATGTAGTCGCTTTAAAAAAAGTCACTACATATTTTATCTCTGAGCATTCCTCCTGTACTTCCCTACATACAAACAAATACACAGGTCAGCAGGTGATACAGCCGTATACATATTTCCGTCCCAGCTTATGTTTTTTTTGTATAATGTATTGCGTTTCACCTGAGTTCTCTATTGGACATTCTGAGGGGTTTATTTTACTGTAGGCCTCCACTGCATTTTTGTGCTTTGGATTTGGTTCACATTGTGGTTCTGTAAAAAGAGTGGGAAGTGAACGACAGCAGACATTCAGACTCGTCTTACAGTCATCCGTCAATCAGCCTTCAGGGTTTTTCTTCTATTGTTGTTTGTTTTTTGTTATCAGCTCGTTAATATCAGTTGTGCAGTTTTCGAAGAATTGCAAACTTTGGTCTCACAGTTTTAAGTTTATATCCTGGACAAAAGAATTCGAATCGCAAGAAATAGATTGAAGTTTGTTGAAAGAAAACAAGATATAAACTCATAATTCTAATTTTGCTTTTCTCTGATTTTTATCTCGCAATTCTGACTTTATAAAGTGCAATTTTCTGGAGGTTGAAACTTGCAAGAACAATAAATAAATAAATACCCAAATATAAAAATGAGTGAGTAAATAAATCCATAAATTTCTGCATAAATAAAACAATAAATAAATATATATGTAAATAAATGTATATAAAAACCACAGATTCCTTCATAAACAAGTGTGTAAATAATAGTGCAGGCGGGCAAACAATTAAATAATTAACTGAAAGTTTATTTTCCCCGCTTTCAAATTGTTTTTGTTCATTCATTCTTGAATGTAGTTGCGTATTCACTTTTCCCTCAGGTCAACATGCTAATAAAAGGCTGTCTGTTATTCATCAGAAGGTGGTCTTTATGCCATCATTGGTTGATCATTAGAAAAAATTTGCATTTGATTTTTTTTTTTACTTTCCCTGATGATTGATCACCCTTTCATTAGCATGTTGACCTGAGGAGAAGTGAAACTACCTTCAAGAATGAATAAACATTTGAAAGAGGGGAAAATAAACTTTCAGTTTGCCCCAACATTCCAGTCATTTATATATTTATTTACCTGCCAGCACTTGAAATTATTTATACACTTATTTATTTGCATATTTATTCATTTATTGTTTTATTTATGCAGGAATATATGGATTTATTTACTGATTTATATATATATATATATACGCATTTATTTATTTTTGCAGGTTTCATCCTCCATACAATTTTGTATCTCGATTTAGAGTTTCTATTTTCCAAATCCGAAAAAGTCAGAATTAAGAAGAATAAATTCAGGATTGCAAAAAACAAATTGCAGTTTGTTGAAAAAAAAAAAGAAAGGATTTTCAAGATATAAACTTCTGACTTTATAAATTGCGAGTTTTTATCTTGGTATGTAAGAATTAAGAGAAATAAAAGAAAAACTGCAAGAAAAAGAAATAAGTTGCAAATGCTGGAAAAAATAAATTAATAATAATAATAATAATAAAAAGAATCTCTATTTGCAGAAAAATTGAGCCATAAACTCAGAATTCTGACTTTGCTTTTGCATTTAAGTTTATATCCTACAATTCTGACTTTATGAAGTGTGATTTTGTATCTCGGTTTTGAGTTTCTATCTTCCAATTCTGAAGAAAAGAAACAATCTAGAAGAATAAAGTCAGAATTGCAAGAAATAAATTGCAGTTTGTTGAAAAAAATAAATAATTGCAAGATATAAACTCATAATTCTGATTTTGCTTTTTACTGGTTTTTATCTTGCCATTCTGACTTTATGAAGTGCGATTTAGTATCTTACAGTTTTGAGTTTCTATCTTGCAAATCTGAAAAAAAAAAGTCAGAATTGAAAGGAATAAAGTGAGAATTGCAAGAAAATTGAAGTTGCAAATGCAAGAAATAAAATCACAATTTGCAGAAAAAATAAAAAATGTTAATTTCTGACTTGGATTTTTGCAATCAAGTTTATATCTTGCCATTTTGACTTTATGAAGTGCGATTTTGAAAATCCTTTTTGAGTTTCTATCTTCCCCATCAAGAAAAATTAGAATTGCAAGAAATAAATGGCTGTTTGTTAAAAAAGAATTGCGATATTTAAACTTAGAATTGTGATTTAGCTTTTTCGCTGATTTTTATCTCGCAATTTTGACTATAAATTGCGATTTTGTATCTTACAATTTTGAGTTTATTTCTTGGAAATCTTAGGAAAATGTCAGAATTGAGAGAAATAAAGAACTGTAGGAAAACAAAAAAGTTGCAAATGCAACAATTAAAATAGAAATATGCAGAAAAAAACAACAACTGAACTATAAACTCAGAATTCTTTCAGACTTATATCTTGCAATTCTGACTTTGAGTTGTGATTTTGCGTCTCGATTTTGAGCTTTTATCTTACAACTCTAAAAAAAAAAAAAAAGTCAGATCTGAGAAGAACAAAGTCAGAATTGCAAGAAATAAACTCGCAATTGGCAGAAACAAATAAATAAAAATATATAAAAACATTTTTCAACACTCACAATTGACTTTTTTTATACAAATTTTGACTTTCTCACAAGACTTTCTCACTCAATTTTTGAGAAATAAATTTGTAAACTGTTTTTAATTCTGACTCTCAATTCGGAGTTCTGTTTGAACAACTCGTAACAGTGAGACTAAAAATTGCATCAAGTCTTTTCTTTCTTTCTGATTTTCAAAATTCTGTGGTGGATGCATGCAGCCTTTTATTTAACACACCACATCTATAATGGTTTGGAGCGTCTTTCGTTGTGGAATCTGTTCTATAATAATCCTTTACTCACTCTAAAGTAGCTCCAAATCAGTATGTCACAATCATATGTTTTATCCATACTATGGACATTAAAGGGGACCATTAAATGCCTGGACACCCACATTCTTCTAAACACTTTGTTTTATCCTCAACAAAAGATGAAGCAAATGGAAACTCCTACAGATTTGGAACAACTTTAGAGTGAGTGAATATGTCAAAATATTCTCTCGTTAAATACAATCTTGATGTAAAATAATTGAGAACAATGGAACAGAATCTGAATATTAAACACGAACACACATGTCCCCATAGAACTGGAGCTTTTTGCAGCTTGATGCACGATTTGGCGCAAGAGTTGGTCATCATCTTCTAAAATAATGTGGTAGCTTTTAATAAAGACTGAGATCTGGTTTGTTTCTCTTGATACGATCGGATGATTTGCTCCTTGGAAAAAAGGCTTCATTGACCTGCGTTTGGAGGCTTGAAGTCGCAGTGACCAGTGAAGGAAGATTTGGGTTGTCCACCAGGGGTCCTCAGAATCTACACTCGGCTCTAAGGCCTGGACGCAAGGTACTGTAGGCAGCAAGCAAGCCCAATTCAGGCTGTGCTCAGACCGAGCTGGAGGTCACGGGGTTGGAGGTGGAAGGGTTTTCCTGCTCATAAGGCAGTGGAAGTCAGTTTTTTCACTCCTCTGCGCTGAGCGAGTATTGAACAGCCGACAGGCTCCAGTACAGGAGGAATGTTTCTGTTCAAAGCAGAGAATGTGGCAGCCATCGCCCCCTACAGGAGAGACAGTTTACACACAAACTTGGATGAAATGAAAGGCTCTAAACATTCATTTTGTAGTTTTACAGTGATTTATATGATGAATGCTAATTAATTTGGCAATTAGAAATAAATTAAATTGATATACAGTTGAAATTATTAACCCCCCGTATAATTTTGTACAATTTCTGCTTAACGGAAATAAGATTTTTACAACACATTTGTAAACATAATTAATAACTAATATCTAATAAATGATTTTTAAAAAAATCTTTGTTATGATGACAGTACATATTATGTTACTATATATTTTTTCAAGATACTACACTGTAAAACCCAACAGTCAACTTTATTAAATGAAATAAGTGTAGTTCAAAATCAGTAACTCAAAATTGACTGAAAGTTAATTTTACTCAGTTTTAAACTGGCAAGTTAGGGTAATTATTTAAGTCTGTATAATGATTGTTTGTTTTGTGAGCAATCAAAACATATATATATGTACAATATATATATATATATATATTGCATATTGACCATAATTATTTTAAATCTGCTTTAATTCTAGCAGAAATAAAACAAATAAGACTTTCTTAAGAAAAAAAAAATATTACTGTGAAAAATTCCTTACTCTGATAAACATCATTAGTGAAACATTTAAAAAGAAAAGAAATTCACAGGTCTCAAAATTTCGATGAACAGCAGATTCAAGGACATTTTAAAGCACCTTTAATTCCAAATCAAGCACCTTTGTAATTCACAGCCCCAGCATATGTAGTGCCATGAAAGTCCCTACTGTACTTAGCATTTCACTTACACTTATTTACATTAAAAATATCAGAATGATGATATTTTGAATGTGTAATTTTTACAAATTTAGACCATTTCAAACAATAATGTTCAAAGAACTTTACTTAAAGTTGTTGAATTCAAAACTGGTGATATTGAAATGCAGTTCCTAAAATAATTAAAGGGATCAGCATAATTGAGAGCAGCCCATTTTGAAAATGAATATTTGTATCCATTTCTCAGTGAGCAGGCAATGCATTTTGGTGCATATAAACAAAACAGATTTATTAAACAGATATATTTATTCAAATAATATTTTAGTCACCAAACATATTTAGAAATGAAAAGATTAATTAAATTTAAGCAAAATATTGCAAAAAAAACAAAAACAAAACTACAAAATCTTTAAATTTTTTGCTTCTCTTGATTTTTCCTCTTTTTTGAATTTGTATTTAATATTTTTCTATAACACATACATTTGGATGTACTAGTTTTTGGACTTTTATTGTAAGTTATTTTGTTAGATAAGCTTCAGATTTGTCTTCAGTACTGACTAGTCTAATGTATATGCACGAATATAATATTATATAGCTTCCTTTAAAAAAAATTACAATTAAAAGACAGATTTGTGAGGGGTGTACTTATATATGCTGAGCACTGTATATAATATGAATTATTTGTCATAGTTGTTGTACAAGATTTTAATTCAAGATTTTTAAATGAAGAATTTCCAGTTTTTTAATCTGTTTTTGGCAATTGTTGAAATAACACCATAAACAAGTTTAATTTAAAATTGAATTCAAGCACTTTCAAGGATCTATGTTTGTTTTTGGATTTAAGTACTTGCCAGGCCTTGAATCCATGTCTGAAATTCAAGTACTTTCAAGAAGCGTGGGAACCCTGTATGTGGATTTGGTGTTTAGGAATAATTTTATATTAATAGTATTAAATATGTTTTGCAATTTTTTTTATCATATACTATTGAGATTTGCTACTTAATATTTTAGGTTGAAAATTCATGAAAGCACCATTCAAACCTATTGAAAATAAGAAAAAAAGAAATACAAATAAGACTAATATGTATAATATTTTTATAAAAAAAACATATATGTATTATTAAGCTTTGATATAACAAATATTAAAAATAATTTAACTGGGCTGACAGATTTTTCTATTATAATTTTTTTTTTAGAGTTAAGCATAATATATTGACTTGCATTTTTATATTGTACACCTAACCAAAACATGTTAGTCTTGTTTCATTTTTCAGTTTAAACAACTTTATATTCAGCGATAAATGCTCTTAAAATGAATGTTAAATAATTCTAAACCAGTCAAGTCAAACAGCATTTCAAGGCCATATAACAATAATTCTGTGAATATTTCAAGACATTTAGATGTTATTATATAGTGTCATGTCTAAAGAAGGACAAACCTTAACCAGATGTGGGGCGTCCTGTCTATTAAGCTGGTAATTGGGGAGCTTGTCTTTGTGAGTGATCCAGGGATGCTTTAAAACCTGTGCAGCAGTGAGTCTCTGATGAGGGTCTACATGCAACATCTTTGATACCAGATCCTGTGGGAAACAACAATAACCATGATTCTTTTAAGAACTATTTTCATTTGGTGGAGCTTTAATGAGAATTGAGGGACAGTTCACTCAATAATCTACAATTCTCTCAAAATTTACCAAGCCTCCCTTTATTTCAAAATGGACTTTCATAGCAAATGACTTCCATAGTATTTTTTATTTCCTACTACTGTCAATGGTTACTGGTTTATGGTAAGTGGTAAATGGTAAGTGGTTTGTTGTCATTTTTGGATGAACTCTGTCTTTAAGTGAGATGCTCAGATTCACACCTTTGCCTGACAAGAAACAGAGTTCCAAAATCCTCCTGTGAGGGAAAACTGTCCGCTGCCGATTCTAGCCAGAATCTCCTCCGGCGTATCCTCGGGGCCATTAGCAAATGGAGTAAATCTGTAGGGAAAAGCGTGGTGTTAGTTGAATACAAACACATAAAGAATAGACAATTCACCAGCAATCAAATAACTGATGATTATCAATTAAATTGATACACTCTGTGCTTGGAGAAACAGAACAGCTATTTAGTTGTGTTACATATGACCAACAGAGGATCATGTGGGAACATTATATTATATTATATAACCAATCCAGGGTTCTTAGGGCTGGGACACCAAGTCAATGGTCGGCTGTTAGGTTTCATCGGTCCAGTTGGTGTGTTCATGCATAGCTTTTTGGTCCGGACGAGAGCCGACGCAGAGCAACAGCACATTGGTTTTGTTGGTGCTAGTTGTTAGTCATTGGCTTGGTGTGTCCCTGTCCTAACACTTATTCCCAAGTCAAATTGAAGCACTTTTCGAGCACTGTCATGTTCCAACTTTTCCATTAAGTGTGGTGAATTACACATACATATATGTTCAATAATCACTTGGCAATTATATGTGGGGGTCTTTCCTCACCACTACTAGTACTACCTCATTACATTACATCACATGCTAATTGTTGTTTTATTCTATAGTGTAGTATATTATTACTCTAGTACACTACTCTGGCTCGATTTGATGGGATGTTTGCCTTTGTTTGTCCAACATTAAATTCCTGTCATTTACTTTCTTAAATGTCATTAACTTGCATCTTAAATATGTCATCTTTCATCTAAAAATTACATTTATTTTTATTTAGAAGGTTGCAGACAAAAGTCAGAGAGATCATGATGCAGGATTTCATTTTATGCTAATACTACTTTATTTACCATAATACTATAACTATTATTACTTGTTATTGTTTGTTAATCTTTACTATTTAGAAATCTAAATTATTATGAAAGGTTTTTTTTCAAGCCCTTTATCCAAAATCGAACCCCTTTTCAAATCTTGAAAACAATGGATCAATTCAAGCCCACATCCCTTTTCATTGTGGGTAAATGCTGAAAAGCATATAGAGATTTTGGAGAACAATATGCTGCCTTTTTTTCCAGGGATACCCATACATATGGGACATTGCTGACTGGCCTGTCTGCAGTTCCGAACTGTCTTTAATAGAGAACGTGTGGCACATTTTGAACCGCAAAATTCAACAACGAAGCTCCAGTACTGTCGCCCACCTTAAGGCTTGTTTGCAGAAAGAATAGGACAAAACCGCACCTGAAACAATTCATCACTTCAGTCCCAAACTTCTTTTAAGTGTTGTGAAAAGGAATGGCAACATTACAAAGTGGTAAATTTTTTACTGTTCCAACTTTTTAAAAATGTGATTCAAGAACCAAATTGATATACATGTTTATTTTGAAGAAAAACAATTTAAAAATCATGAGGAACACAATAAATAATGTTTGTTGTATCCTCTGCAATGAAATACATGTCAAAGTAAATGTTGACATCACTGCTCTTTTTATTTGTGTTTTCCATACTGTCCCAACTGTCCCCAACTTTTCCGATTTGGGGTTGTATATTATTAAATACATTTATTTATAAAATAGCTTTATTAAATGATTATTTTCACAATCCTACTTTTATTTCCAGTAAATATATTTCCGGTTGTGTGTGGACGCTTGCGTTTTGAGGGTCGTTCATACATTCTCCCATGGCAGTAGCAATGTATGTACCACTGAAGTTGACACACCTAATGATAAAATTATTATAAGATTGATCATTTAAACAACAACTGGAATTTGGGAAATTCCCTCTTCAGAGAGAAGTTTGAATTACTTACCCAGTTAACATTGTGTAGAGAAGGACACCTAGACTCCAGATGTCACAGGCCGCATCATAGCCCTGTTTCTTCAGCACCTGAGGGAACAAATATTTTTCCGGATTAAAAAACTGTTGTGTGTTTTAAAAAAACAATGCTACGTCTCATCGCTAAATGTACCTCTGGGGCCACAAAGTTGGCAGTATAACAGGGCGTCATCAGAAGTCCATTTTCTGCTCTTAGCTGCTTTGCAAAGCCGAAGTCACAGATACGGATGGACTCGGGATTCCCAGATTCATCAACATAAAGGATGTTACTGGGCTTTAAATCCCTGTGAACCACCTGAGGAGGAGGAATTTTAATAAGAGTATAATCTTAATCATATTAAAATCGGAGTATTGGTGTCTTATGTAAATGTACTCAGAACGTCTGGTGAAGTCGCGAGCTGTCAAAGACAGGGCATTACTCTGTCTTTCAGCATGAGCCCTCCAAGTTTAGCGTGTTTCCTCATTAAACGCCACGAAAGCGTATGCTTCGAGTTGTTATGTCAGAATCCTTGTGAAATACAGTAATACTTTAGGACGCTTAGTTTAGGACGCTTAGCAAATTTGATGAACGTGATCATGCATGTTGAATCTGAGGGGAGTTGCTCCAGTATGGAAGGCCGTTGGGGCCAAAACGTCTGCAGCGCGTTGTGTGTCTCTGTCTGTGTGTGTGTCTGTGTCAGGCCCGTTGAGGGGTGTCAGGGGTGGAGAGAGCGACGTATCTGAGTAGGGGCGAGAGGGGTGTGCAATGTATTTAACGACCGGTTTGCAAGAAATTATCATTCATTTGCGGGCATTTGGGAGTCTCTGTGCACTTGCGGGATACTCCTAGTCTTAGCAACTGGATGAATGTAAAGGAGGATTAAGCAAAATTGTTTCTACTCTATAATTAATGTTCTCAACTCACAGCAATAAAACTTTACAATGAGTGCAACAGTTTGTATTCTATAGTTTATTATTATAATTTTTCATTTTCCATATCTGCAATTCCTGTATTTTGGCATTTGTTTGCAGTCCACTTAGAATCCAACATGGAAATCAATGTTTTCAATCAAAATTTTATTGGCATTGATTGTTTTGAAATTTAAATGTCATTAACATGCCTGTGTTTTAATTTCTGTAATAAATATGGCTGTCAAGCCAGGATCTTGATAGTTTATTGTGGGTATGTTGTTTACATGAAGACATCTGTGTTACAAGTTAAACAAAAATTCTATTAAACAATTAAATTTTGAATTTAAATAGTTTTTGTATTGCGTTTACATTAATTTTACATTTAAATAGGCAAAATTACAAGTTTCAGTATTTTAAATGCGAATCGCGGTTAATTTTAAAAAAAAGGTGCGATTAATTAGTTAATTTTTTTTTATCGATTGACAGCACTAATATATATATCAGTTGTTTCACAAACATATAATCCTGAACAGTAGTGTTTACATCAGGATTTTTGTATCTGCTATGGTTTGTTTGTGTCCATCTTTTGCTTTTAAGGCTGAGTATCTGCATTACAGCCATTATTAAACCAGACTGAGGTTAATACACTTGCTTTCCATGATCACAATCTTAATGTACTTCAGTGTACTTAATGTACTTCCCTCTGTCTCCCGTAACATATTACAGCTCGACACACATTTGAGTTTATTCTCTCCTACATTTTTAACTTTAGACAGGCTAGGGTACATACGCCTTGAGCGTGCAGGTACGCCACAGTTTTGGTGATGGTGTGGAGCACAGCACAGGCCTCCCGCTCCGAGAAGAACTTCTGTCTGAGGATTTTATCCAGCAGTTCGCCTCCTTTCAGCAGCTCCGTCACCAGATACACAGTGCGGCCATCATCATACACCTGCAAACACAGACAGATGTATTACTGAGCTTCAATTTCTCACAGTACAAAATCTATATTTCCTGTTATTTTACTCGCCCTCTGGCTATTTTTAGGAAATAAATGTAATTGACCACTATATGTGATTTTATTTAAAAGGATAGCTCAACCCAAAATGAAAATGACCTCAATATTTACTCTCTCTCATGTGCTTTTAAAGCTTCATGAGTTTTTTCCTTCTGTTAAACACAAAAGAAGATATTTTGCTGGTTTTGGCACCCATTGTTTTCTATAGTAAGAAAATAAATTACTATGGAAATCAATGTATGTCCACTACTAGCATTCTTCAAAATATCTTATTTTGTGCTCAACAGAAGAAAGAAACTCAAATAGGCTTTGAACAAGTAAAGGGTGAGTAAATGATGACAGAATTTCCATTTTTAGGTGAACCATCCCTTTAAAGCTCTATTATTTTCAGTATTATTTAACAAATACAAATGATAATTGGTTATACAGTATGGCTAGCTTAATATTAGTGTGCTGTGTGTCAAATAACGATCATCTTTAAATAAATCTTTCAAACTTGGCCACAAAACAATAATATTTACTACACTAGTTTCACTTTTGGTTTTTAAAGTTACAATTTAAGCGGTTTACACAATAAGTTAGCAAATTAATTTGAATCAAACAGGTTGAAATGCTTAGCAAATCTGTCTTAAACATGATTAACAAATGACTTTACAACAACAATAATTTGTCATGCAAAAATGGACGAATATTGTGTGCATATATGTGAAATCCCTATAATGCCTGCATTATAGAAATACATAATGTGACTTTATTAAAGACATACACTCACAGGCCACTTTATTAGGTACACCTTACTAGTACCGGGTTAGACCCACTTTTGTCTTCATAACAACCTTAATCCTTCGTGGCATAAATTCAACAAGGTACTGTATATATTCCTCTGAGATTTTGGTCCATATTGACATGATGGCATCACACAGTTGCTGCAGATTTGTCAGCTGCACATCCATGATGCAAATCTCCCGTTCCACCACATCCCAAAGGTGCTCTATTGGCTTGAGATCTTGTGACTGTGGAGGCCATTTAAGTACAGTGAACTCATTGTCATGTTCAAGAAACCAGCTGTTCCGTTATCCTGCTGGTAGTAGCCATCAGAAGATGGGTACACTGATGTCCTAAAGGTATGGACATGGTCAGCAACAATACTTAGGAGGCTGTGGCGTTGACACAATGCTCAATTGGACAGGTGTACCTAATAAAGTGGCCGGTGGGTGTATATTTATAGGAAATCTCAATAGTATCAGAAAACACACCAGCAAGACCTGAAGCCTGATGCTTCTCTGCTGTAGAATGCATAATTTCACAATTTTAGTGAAAATGCAATAAATAACTCATCAATACTACAAGATTACTTTTTTCAGCAGAACATTAGATTTTTAGCTCAAAATAAGGGTCCTTGGTGATTAATAAAAGCTAAAACAAAACAAATGGAATACTCATGACTCCAGATGCAGTAAATGGACTGAAAAGTAAAACTATTTTGATTTTGATTTTCATTTAAAGGGTTTGTTTCTGCAAAATTGCTGACTTTGACTTTATGGGTCTCAAAATACAACAGTTTCAGTTTAAAATCTTATGTTGTATTCTATCGTAGAAAAAAACTCTGTCTTAGACAGCCTTAGGATGAGTGAGTTTTATTTTTTTTGATGAACTGTTCCTTTAAGAAAGGCTTGATGCACGTGCATTTCCAATGTATGGAAACACAGCGGACCGATAATGGATAACCTGCTCTGAGTAATTTACAGGAAAGACAATAAGAGCAGGAACTCATTATTCTCTTCCCTCGTTCAGGAAATGTCAGAGCAGAATGGGTTTCAGGTAAACACATCGATGCTCTTTGAAAAGAACAAGACATTACCTTAATATAATTGCATTCAGCCAATAAAACTGAGCTTAGAGTCTGCCGCCATGGTGCATTGTTGATCATCATTATAGATGAAAATAAAAGACTCCATCATTGTTTTTAAACACTCACGTCTTTCAAGGTGATTATATTTGGATGCTGTCCATAGCGTAATAGAATTTCCACCTCCTCCGCAGGATCCCGTTTAGCCTTGCTGATAATCTAAACATAAATATACATACAGACATAAAACATATATTAAATAGACAGCCTTTAAAAGGGGTAATACTTTAAAAATGAATGTTTTTAACAGGGATGCACAATAATTCAATTATAGGTAATTTAATTGATTATAAATGATTTACATTCACTCAGTAAGCAGACACTTTTGTCCAAATCAACTTACAATTGAGGACGCATTCAGGAATTTGACAAGAAGAGACTAATTGTACAAATAAAGTGCTCAGAGAATTAAAAGCTAGAGTAGGGGGAAGTGGGTTTTGGGTTTCTACAGGTGGTTTGTCAAGCCCACTCACCACCTCGAGTTTTTTAATAGATATGGAGTGACTGTAAGAATGTGTCTAGTGCAAATGTCTGATGAAAGAGTATGTTTTCTACAGGTGGTTTGTCTAGCCCACTCACCTTTGTGAGTCACTCAGAATTTCAGAAATGTTTTGAGGTTGTCATGTGATGTGGTGGGGGTGAGAAAAGAGGGGGTCCTGGTTTAGTTCATAGTTTCAGGTAATCACTGAAGATATTTTAAATGTTTTAGTAGAACATATGACTTCATATCTGACTGTATATTATGTCAAAACAAACTTTTATTTTGGATGTAATTAATCTTTGCACGGCACTAATATTTATAAATGTATAACATATCCAATATTTACCTATATTAGTTAATATTATAAAGTTTTAAAATCTATTAGCTAAAGAAGTTCAAGTGCTTTTTTTTTAAAGGGTTGATTTGCTGCTAATATACGGTTATATCTGGTATTGTGGTGTTCGAATATAATTCTTTCCTCACCTTCACTGCATACTCCATCATTGTGCTTTTCTGAATGCAGCGTTTGCAGATGGAATAAGCGCCGATGCCGATATCCTCCTTCACCTCATATGCGTCACTAAACTGAGACACGTTTCGGTGGAGCTGCTATAAATACACAATACAACCAAGATGGAAATGCAGTCATTAAAATGAAGAAACAGGTTTAATTTGGAGGAAACGTGTTATGCAAGTGCACATACCTGAACTATAGATGACATGCTGTTGCTCGGCAGGGATTGAGATTCTTCTTCTGAAGTGATGGCCACAAAACTAAACCCTCTAAAAAGTCGATTGGCATTGGCACTAGGAGGTACACCTGGAGAATCTAAAAAAAAAAACACATAAACCAATACACACCAATGTTTTTATCTAGTCTTTAACACTAGAACCACCAGAAGGTAAATTTTTTTCCGTGGACATCACAAGATAATGACTACACTCTACACTGTAAAAGATGATATGATCAATTAGTCATGACAACATTTCTTTTTAGTTAATTGTAACTTATTAAACTAAGTTGGTTGGGTTCTAACTTAATTTTATAAGTTAAGCAAGCTTAAGTTTAATGTAATATAAGTTAAAATGACTCATAAGATTAATTTGATTCAGCTTAAACATGTAAGGCAACCTGTATTTTTTAACAGTGTAGAGTACTAAAATTATTTTTTTTTAGTCTGAGCCTACACAGGATACAACACTCACCTAGGATACCAGACTTATTATCAGTCATGGCATGTACAGTAGTACCTCTAATACCTATTGTGTCTAGTGTCCATAAATCTACTTATTTTATCAATTGTGACTAATGGATAACTACTTGTATCCATGGGGAGTAGCACCAAATGTTATGCTTTGGTCACACAAATTCCCAAAATCTTACTAAACATTAAATACTTTTAAAATGTATTCTCATAGTTTATTTCAGAGGGTCAAAAAGAAACTAATAGCATATCAAGACATCAATATAACAGTATCACTTTATTTTGATGGTCCCTTTAATGCGTGTTGAATTTAAGTTACATTGCATCTACATGCCAACTAATTCTCATTAGATTATAAGCTGACTGTTAGATTGGGGTTATGGTTAGTGTAATGCCGAGTTCAGACTTAGCCCTGATTTTGACTCGCCGTCAGGTTTTGAGAAATCGCAGACAAATACCTGATATCACAGGCAAATTGGTGCTTGTGCACACGAGTGACAATCACACAGTATGAACTATCAAAGCAACCATCTGAGATAATCACAGATGAGTCGCTGATGTCTGTGAGGTATTTGGCATGCTAAATATCTGGAGCTGTTGGCGATTCAAATCATGTCGTGTGAAATGAGTTTTGACTGAAAATAACATCGGCGATCGCCTACAGCCAATGAGAGAGCAGCATTCACTTGTGTGTGTGTGTGTACCTGCAGACCAGTGAGAGGTTGAGGGAAAAAAGCGCTCATTTTCGGTTTATTTGGACTCAAGACATAGAGGAAAAACTAGTGGAGGTTTGACATGAGCACCCGTATCTGTTTGACGTTTCATACAGAAAGCTAAAATAGAAAGTTGAGCAGAAATTGCTAATTCCCTTCAAACCTAGATGAGCAAATATGTACATTTTCTACCCCATAGAAGTCTTCTATCTCGTTATGTAGTAAATAACAAAAGATACGCTACGTGTTTTTGGCTGCGAGACGTAGTTTGGACAAAGTTGTCGGTGATTCTTCCTATTTTAAAGTCATGCAATGTGAAAGCCCCTGTCGACGATCCATCTTGCAGTGTAAACAAAGCAGCGACAAAACGCAAGCCCAGTAAGTCATGCAGTGTAAAAACATCGGTGACACGACTACTTTGAAAATCATGCAGTCTGAACTCGGCATAATTTGAAATGTACTTGCAAAGTTTCTTATAGTCAGTAAAATGTGAAAAATTCGTCACGTAAACAAACCTTGCACACTGAGTCGATGCGTATTCATTAATCCATTTAAAAAAAATGCAAAACATGTCGGAGTCAGCAGCAGGGGAGAGGTGCGCCAGGCACTGAATACAGCATACAGGGGTTCTCAAATGATCGCCACATTTTGTCTTTATTTTATAAACTGTTATAATGTGTAATCTGTAGCTCAAATGAAGATATTCTGTATTCAGCTTTTTGCTTTTCGTGGCTCTGAACTGTCAAAACACCTCTTAAAGCATTTTTTCGAATGCGAAAAGCAAAATTTTTTTTGTGATGGACGAAAGTTTTTGAGGCAGTGTGTCCATACGTTTGACTCAATGTGAGGTCGAAATTATATTTAACGTGAAAATTACGAACGAAAATTTCAGATTCAGTGTCAGCCTTTAGACTATGTTTACATGAAAATGATATTTGTACAAATGGAGTATATACACCATTTGTAACCCCTTTAAGTAACTTGAGTGCAAACCGATAAAGGCGCTTATATGCAACACCAAATTGGAATGTTGGACAAAAAAACTTCCTGTTCTATTTAGATTTTGGTTAAGCTGTTTTTGACCTTTAACCAATAAAAGAAAGCCGGGTAATGTGTTTACATGACATTACACGTATTAGCCTATTAGGCATAATTGGCTTAAGAATGTGCATGTAAACACATGGCTTGATGGGTTATTACAAGGCTTTTGAACTTTTATGAAAAACAATTATATTGTAAATAATGTAAATTAAGTTACAGTACCATATATTGTTCTTTGCCAGAAACATGATGATGTGTAAAAAAAAGTTTAAAAAAAAAAGCTATGAATAGATTTCATCCGGTGGCAGATCCAGTGTTTAATACAGCATCAATTCATCCAACACATTTTGAGAGGCAGAGCAGAGTTGCATTAAATAGGTTTTGGTGTTTGTCTCAAAGGGGATAAAAGATGGATGACAAACACACAGTCTACCTGATCTAGTCGATTAGAAGCTGGTGTACCTTTGGGAGTTTTTGCGGTAAATTCTGGGTCGAAGTAGAATGTGTCGTCTGGTCTGCCAGTGGCTGGTTTGAAGGGTGGGTGACTTTCTCTTCTAAATAATTTCTGAGACATACAAAGCATGAAAATGAACATTACAACCACCATTCGGCCACTTATTCAGGTAAAACTTGAGGTTTTATTTGTTAACTATATTAGTTAACATGAACTATTAAGAAAATAATACTAGCTAAATATTTCACCTGTGAACTAGTGTAATTAAAACATTTAAATATGTATATTTCTTAAATAATGTAACATTATTAATGTAAATTCAGTAATTCAAAAGCACCTTTTGTAATTGTAAAATTATAAAATCAAAAATGTTAATATAAAAAATGCTACTATAAAAATGTAAATGTAGTACCCATATCCATAAAAACTGGTGTTATTTGTAACATTGTTTGTATGTAATTTTTATTAACTAACAGGACTTTATTGTAAAGCTTTATCCCTATTCAAAGTAAGTGGATGTTCCAGTAAAAAACTCACATTCCAGTCAATAGAAACATAAAATGGGTGTCTCTTTATCTCTTCAACTCCATCTGGACCAGCACCTGCAGAGAAGCAGTCAATTAAAAATCAAATATGCAAATATCAATACACAGAAATTAACATTCAGTTCTGCTAATGCACTACTGTTTGGAACAATTTGTGAATGAAATTGTATAAAATAGTTAATTCCTCATAAATTGGTGCAAGTGAGAAGTTGGAGACATAAACTTTATGTTGCTTTACTACATGATTTTTTTTATTTTTTATTTTACTGTATCAAAAAATTGAGCTCATAAGTTTTAATGCATATTTTAGGATTTATGCCAACATATTGCACTATGCACATTTAAAAATGATTTGATATCATTTCAACTTTGACTAATTTAATGCATGATTGCTTAATAATAGTATTCTAAAACAACCATCACTTTCAAGTGGTCTTACCTAATCTATTAGTAGGGTTTCGTTTGAAAAGGCTCCTGAGGAGACTCTGAGCTTCTGAACTTAAAAACTGAGGCATCCCAAGCTTCGCCCTGCAAAAAAAGTCAAGAGGTCAGATTGGCAATACATGCAGAGGCAGTACAAATACAGTTTGATGCTTAACAAAGGACTGTTGGTTATCCCTGTATTATTAAAGGAGTAGTTCACTTCTAGAATGATTGGTCACCATTTACTTCCCTACTCTATGGAAATCGATGGACTGTTTAGACACCAATGATGACAGAATTTCTTATTCTGGAAGTGAACTACTACTTCAGCCAATCAGAGGTGCATTTCACAAAATCACTGTCAGCCAACGAAGTTTGTAAGTTCTACTGTGACCAAAGTTATATGGAAATTCAGTGTTTCCCAAATCCATTGTTCCAATGAACATTCGCAAATAAGGTCACAAACTTGTGTAGTTGGAATTACAACACTAGAGCTGTGGTTTGCAGCATAGTTCCTGGCTTTGTTTTAATCAGAGTTATCCACCCTATGCCTTATTCCATTCACCATCCACTCTAAATGACTCTGAAAGCTTAAAGTTGACAATTTATGTCAAGTTATTTTGAATGGAGTCTAGTTTGATTGATTTTCAGACTGACAATTGTGCTCCCCTCAAAGTGCACTCCGAAAAAATGGTCATTTTGAAAGCAAAAAAAGTCACTTTTATGATTTTCAAGGGAAAATCTGTTACATTTTCAAAGCTTCAGAAAATAAAATTTATGTTATTAGTTTTAATTAAAAATTTTCAAGTGTTTTTAAAGTACAATACAAAAATAATAATAAAAAAGTAATTAATAAAAGTATTTCAATACAAAACACTTTTGTAACAGTTATTCCTGAAACTTTTTTAGCTTCAGCAGCTATTATATGGAATACAGGCTTATTATAAGCTTTACAATAATAGAATAAAAATATGGAATATTCTCAATAATATTTATAGAGAGAGAAAAAGAGCCACATGATAGCCATATCAGCCATATTTATTTGCCATATCAGCTTCTCTGGCTATGTCACTGTAAAAAAGAATGGATCAAGTTTACAACAAGTTCATAAATATCACTTTTCTATAATTGTATAAATGTTTTAACAATAAAAAGTTATCTACATCTATAAACAATATATAAGATAAAATGCATAATTGATAATAATACATAAGACAAAAAAAATCTAAAACAGTTTAAGGTTTACTTTTGATAAAAATTGTGATTTTTTTTTTGGAAGGATTCACATTTAAACATATTTAATTTGAAGTCTCTCCAGATAAAAAAATCGTTTTCTGATAACATTAAAAATAGGGCCATCCACAAGAATATGTGGAATATTGCAACAGTTTGGTGTCTGTTGCAATATTGACATTGTGGGGTCTCAATCGTATTTGTAAAAGAAAGGAAATGTCGGTTTACACATGTTTACCCTGTGTTTCAATCACCTATACAGGGACCAAAGGAAGCAAACAAGTGGAAATTTACTAATTTTATTCATTCATTCATACTTGGCTTAGTCCCTTTATTAATCTGGGGTGGGGTCACGATAGCGAAATGAACCGCCAACTTATCCAGGAAATGTTTTACACAACGGATCCCTTTCCAACTGCAAACCATTACTGGGAAATACCCATGCATACTCAATCACACACATACACTATGGCCAATTTAGCTTACACAATTCATACAGCACATGTCTTTAGACTTGTGGGGGAAACCAGAGCACCCAGAGGAAACCCATGCCTACTAACCCAGCCGAGGCTCGAACCAGCGACGTTCTAAAGCGGATTTAATGATGCATCTCCAACAGATTTTGAGAAATACTTGTCACAACATTGTTTATTTCCCAAAAAATGTATTGTACTTTGTTACCTCAACCATGAGTTACTTCGTTGTATTGGAAACACACTCCAGACTGAAGAACACACACGTTCAGTCAACCAATTAAATGTTTTTCCTCTTTTGATTGGCTTGTTTTTTAGTAGTAAACGTTCTTCTTTCAGCACATAAAACACACTTAGCAAAAATAATGTTTAAGTAACATGATGATAAAAACCCGGTCCACATACTGTAAGCCTAGAGGTCAGATAACACCAAAATAACAAGGCCAGTCACTGTCATCTTCTCTGACATCACCTCCACAGCTGATCCTTTGTGTATTCATATCAGTGGTAATTATCATTGTTATCAGTGGTCTGCAGGAGCCTCCAATGAACACTGTAATTGACAAACCATCACCTCGCCAAACCCACATTCTTACAGTTAATCGAAGCTGTCAAACAGAACTAACTATAGTCATCAGTACTAGAGGAGCGTAATACAGCCCTCAGCAGGACGCTTTGTGACGTCTATTTTTTGCGGTTGAGTGTTTACTGATAGTTAAGTGGTTAGTCTTTGCGCTAAACAGCACCGTCAGCTAAACCCAGGGCTTATCCTCATTACTCCAGCGCTTAGCAGATTGTTGTCCAGATGTTAGCAGACTCTTCCACTCAGACTGGATGAATGTGTTTAGATAAAGTGGACAGCGGAAAAAGGAAGGATGAGGCCTTCAAACACTCACTTTAGGATCATGGTCATGGTTTCCTTGCGGTCCTTGCCTTGGAATGGCAGCGTTCCTGTCAGCATTTCATACTGAGAATAAAACAAGTTGGTTTTTTTTAGGAAGGGTGTTATATGAATTTCAGTAATTATTATTATTATTATTTTTGGTTTATGTTGCAGTGATTAATGGCTGAAGGTGCTGGAACACTTTTCTAGATGGTTCGAGCTAGGGTTATTACATAAAAAAAAGCAAATAATTATTATTCTTATTTGATTAAATAATAAAATAAATGTTAACAAATAAATAAACTAAACAAAACTTCTAAAATTGAAAAAGCAAACTAACAAAAACATTTACACATTTAATAAACAAATAAACACTTTTTAAAGACACTACAATATTTTATGTAATGTTTAAAATGTTTTAAATAAAAAAAACACAATGTACAATTAATAAAAAATTATTATTATTACATTTAATTTTTAAAATGTAAGTGCTTGAACACTTTTCTAGATTGTTCCAGCCAGGATTTTTATATATAAATAAAAAACTGAAAAATAAATAAATAAATAAATAATAATTAAATAAATAAAATAGATTGTTCCAGCTAGGGTTATTATATTTAAATAAAAAACTGAACAATAAATAAATAAATTAATTAATAAATAATAATAATAATAATAATAACAATAAACAAATAAACAAACAAACAAATAAATAAATAAATAAATAAATAAATAAATAAATAAATAAATAAATAAATAAATTAATTAATTAATTAATTAATTAATTAAATAGACTAGATTTTTCCAGCTAGGGTTATTTTATTTAAATAAAAAACTGAAAAATCAATAAATAATAATAATAATAATAATAATGAAATAAAATAGATAAAAAAACTGAAAAAATCAGTCAATCAATCAATCAATAAATAATAATAATAATTATTATTAATTAAAAAAAAAACTAAACAAAGACTTTTAAAAATGTCAAAGCAAACTAACAAAAATGTACACTTTTAATAAACAAATAAACACATTTTCTAACACACTACAATATTTTTAAATAAAAAAAATATTGTAAAAATAATAATAATAATTATTATTATGATTATAACTACATTTTATTTTTTAAATGTAAGTCCTGTAACACTTTTATAGATTGTTCCAACTAAGGTCATTATATTTACATGAAATAAAAATTCAAAATTTATTAAATAAATATTATTATTATTAATACATTTCATTTTTAAAAATGAAGTACTGGAACGGGTTTATAGATTGTTCCAACTAGGTTTATAATATTTAAATAAAAAAACTGAAAATTAATTAAATAAATAAATACTAAAACTAAACAAAAACTTTTAAAAATGATAAATGATAAACTACCAGACTTTTACACATTTAATAAACACATAAACACATTTCAAAGACACTACAATATTACTTAAAATATAATTTTAAACAATTTTTACATTTAAAAATAAACTGTAAAAACAACAACAACAATAATTATTATTATGTATAAAATGTCACTTACCATGAGTACGCCATAAGACCACCAGTCAGCGCTGTATGTGTGTCCTCTTCGATTCACCACCTCTGGAGCCATGTACTCAACCGTCCCACAGAAAGAGTAAGCCTTATTCTCATGATCGATCGACTCTTTGCTGAGCCCAAAGTCTGAGAACACACAAACACACTTTCAGTACAGCAACATCAACGTTTTTAGTATAAACTAAAATGAAACGACATGAAATAGTACAATAAAACTTTGAAAAGGAAATAACAGCAAAATTAAAAACGGTGCCTAGGCATCTAAATAAAAATAAAATAAATCAATGAAAAAGTAATATACATTCAAAAACAAATAAATATTTCTACTAAATAAACATAAATAAACATATAAATGAAAATAAACTAAACATTAAGATGAAAACTAAAAACATATAAATAATACAAATAAAAGCAATTCAAATTGCTGCGTAAAATCCAGTAAAATATAAATATGTTATATTATTCAAAATAGTTAAAAACAACGAATGAAAATGAAAACTAACTAAATATATGAAAACTAATTCAAAGTAGAAACAAATATACCAATGATATATTTAAAAAGAATAAAACAAGTTAGCTGTATGCCCTTTAATCGCTAACTTTGGTGTTCCCTCTCATCTGACATTGTGGCTTTTGCCTCTCTTCTCGCTAGGCACAGAATACTGTTGTCTTGGACATCCCCACAACCCCCCTCTATTTCATTGTGGCTCAAAGATTTAGCCTTCTTTTTAAAACTTGAGAAAATTAAATAGAATATCAAAGGTAGGGGAGAACAGTTTTTTGAAAAATGGCCACAATTTACTGCATTCTTTAATCACTTAAAAACCTTAGATGTGGATTGAGTGAAGGGACATTTGTATGTATGTATTTGGTTTGTTATTATAATTTTTTTTTCTGTATTTGTATTTATTTTATTTATTATTATTTTGTTTATTTTATTTATTTATTTACTTTATTTATTTATTCATTTGCAGATGCTGATTGTTTTATTTGGTGATTGATTTGTCGGATGCTATAAAATATATAATATGGTATTTGCCAGAATAAAAATTCCATGACAAAAAAATAAAAAATAAAAATAATAAAACAACACCTTAAATTATCATACTAATTCCACAAAGCAAAGTAAAATATAATTATGTTATATTTTATATATTTTTAAAAATAGTTCAAAATAATTAGCCTAGCAAAATAACTGAAATAAAATAAATTAAAATGATCAAAACAAGTATATATATATATATATATACAGTATTAGAAATATAAAAAAAACAACAAACTGAATAATAATTCCAACATAAACTACATTTTAAAATGAAAACTTTAAATACAAACAAATACAACTAGGACCACATGCTCAGCTGTTTACAAACCATCCCGCAAATGTAAAGGTACCTATAATTAAGAGTTATAACCAGTTCACGCGTGCCTCACGTCAGCGACTCGTATAAGAATTGCACATTTCCATTGATTCACAAACTATGCATGTTTTCTTTGTGTAAATCTTTAAAAAATCAGCATAGTTGTCCAAATTAGTGTTTTATAACAGGAGTCTCACATGGATACTCCCAAGATAATGATACTTTATCAGTAATATGCTAATACTAATAAGCAAAATAAATGTTTTGCTAATAAAAGTAATTAAACAAATGTTTAAAATAAACATTTTCTCTAGACAGTTTAAGAAAAATGTCAGACGTGGGCCCTGAAGTGAAAAAGGTTGAGAACCCCTGTATTTTTGTATATAGTAGAAATTTAAAAAAATAACAAACTGAATAATAATCACAACATAAACTACATTTACATGAAAACTAATTCAAAATACAAACAAATACAGCAATAATATATCTAAAAATTACTGAAACAACATCTTAATTATCCATAATAATTGCGCAAAACCAAAGTGTGGTTTAGACACTATAGATAAAGCTCTAGAGAAGGAAGGTCAAATCATCTGTCTGCCTTCCCATGAGACCGCAAGTCAAACGGTCTCAACACAAAGCCCTAAACGATCAAGGTGGCATCATGCTGATGCAGCCGTTCCCGCAATCTGAAATTACCTACCTGTCAGCTTTATGTGGCCGTCCTCGTCCAGGAGAATGCTGAAATGACACACATTCACAGCATTAAAAAGCCATTTAACACACTCGCACAAAGGGTCGCCTTACTTTCTATTGCCATTCGCTTTATATGTCACGACTACAAGACTACAAGCATTATTTTTATAGCCCTGTTCTCTGCAGACATAAATGTGATTTATGGATGACCTTATAGCCGGCAGTGAGGGGAAAAAAAGAGAGAATGTGTGAGTGTGATTGAGTGATAAACAGAGGGAAAAAACTAAAGTAAGACGGAACAGAAAAAAATAGATGAGGGTCAAAGATGAAAAGCTGTTTTTCCAAGTATTAAAGCAAGCTTTAAAGAATGTGCTATTATAAATATTTACTTTTATTTATTTTTTTTTACAATGATTTATACTGAAATATCAATAATGTCTGGCATACTTGGATTAAGTAATCTTTAATCTTTTGATGAAAAATTAAAAGTTTATTTAATCATTTATGTTCAGCCCATTTTTTTTCCACGAAATCTGTACATTTTGTCAAAATCTTTCTATCATGATATAAATATATCTGTTATTTTGAATGATTATTGACCTTTTTCTTCAAGTAGAAGCAGGTGCAGCCATTTGAATCTTTTTGGTTCGAGACTTTCAGTTTAATTCCCTTTCATAGATTTTTAGACAGGGCTAATGGTTAAAATAGACAGGGCAAGAGACCTGCTTCACTGAGTCTGCATTCAGACCTATGATTCAGACCCGGGGATTGAGGGAAAAGTTCTCATTTATAGTGTTTATATGAACACGATTATCTTTATAATGATAAAAATTGTGGTTATCTGTATATGAAATTACGAATAAAAAATATAGCAGGGCATTAAATGACTGTTTATTTTTTTGCATTTTAACTTTGTAAAAAATAAAATCATGCAACTCCTCACGGTTTGTGTTTCATTTTGTGAGTTAACTGACAACAGTTGTTCGCTGCCCTTCTTCCCCCTGCTGGCCGCGCCCACTCCTGCCCTTTGCTCGCGGAGCTCCATGCCCATTATGATGCACCTTTTGAAAAAATTCCGAGGTAGACTTGAACCGAAAGTGGGGGGTGTCATGACCCTTTAAAATCAATGTTTTAAAAAAACTGCTTACATTTTTTAAAGATTATTTTGGTGTAAATAATGATATTTTTTTATTTAAAAAGAACAACATTTATTTAAATGAAAAATCTTTTGTCTTTTCTAAAGTTGAACAATATATTATTTCAGCATCAATATCGCAATGTGTGCATTCCCAATTGTCACATCACAGGATTAGATTATTATTAGTTTATCAACGATTAAATATTTCTACATTGATGACCATGTAATTTTACGTTTGATTGTTCAATTTCTGCATTTGAATACTGTTATACTCCCTAGAAAACAATAATGCACTGTTTATTTAACTTTCATTTTTGCTCATTTTTTCATTTATAATCTATATGCTTGTAATTTCTTATATTTTATACTGATGCACAGCATAGAAAAAGAGTTGATCATGCCAGTCTGTCTAAATGAATGAAATCCTTCCAAATAGAGGTATTCAAATCGCCTGGTGAAATGATATTCTATATCGCAATAAATAATCACAGCAAAACAAAATGTTTCCAATATCGTGCAGCCCTAGTCTTTACTGTCACGTTTGATCAATTTCATGCACCCTTGCAAAATAAAAGTATATATAAAAATATTTATTTTCTGCCAAATTTACTTTTAGCACCCCCCTAATTGTTTGTAAACAGTCAAAACTTATAAAACAACACAAAAAACATTTAAAACAAAAACTAATTATTTAATTTTTCATATATAAGACCATATATAAGTCTCTTTGTTTAATTATGTTATGATAAATAAAGACACACTTTAATAAATTATGTTAACTTTACAGTGGGGTAAAAAGTATTTAGTCAGCCACCAAAAGTTCTACCACTTTAAAAAGATGAGAGAGGTCTGTAATTTTCATCATAGGTATGCCTCAAATATGAGAGACTAAATAGTAAAAAAAATTCAGAAACTCACATTGTAGGATTTTGAATGAGTTCATTCATAAATTTCTCAGTAAAATAAGTATCTGGTCACCTACAAACAAGCAAGATTTCTGGCTCTCACAGACATGTAAATTCATCTTTAAGATGATCCTCTGTCCTCCACCTGTTACCTGTATTAATGACATCTGTTTGAACTCATTATAAGTATAAAAGACACCTGTTCACAACCTTAAACAGTCACACTCCAATCTCCCCTATGGCCAAAACCAAAGAGAAGCAAAATTGTAGACCTGCACCAGCCTGTTAAAAAAATCAACTGTGGGATTATTAGAAAATGGAAGACATACAAGACCACGGACAATCTTCCTCGATCTGCTGCTCCATGCAAGATCTCACCCTGTGGGGTCAAAATGATTACAAGAACTGTGAGCAAAAATCCCAGAACCACAATGGGGGAGTTAGTAAATGGCCTGGAGAGAGCTGGGACCAAAGTAACAAAGGCTACCATTACTAACACACTGCACCGCCAGGGACTTAAGCCTGCAGTGCCAGACGTGTTCCCCTGCTTAAGCCAGTACATGTCAAGGCCCATCTGAAGTTTGCTAGAGAGCATTTGGATGATCCAGAAGAGGATTGGGAGAATGTCAGATGAATCCAAAATAGAACTTTTTGGTAAAAACTCAACTTGTGTTTGGAGGAGAAAGAAAGCTGAGTTGCATCCAAAGAACACCATACCTACTGTGAAGCATGGGGGTGGAAACATCATGAAACATCTGCAAAGAGACTAGGACGACTGATCAATGTAAAGGAAGGAATGAACGGGGCCATGTGGTGAGATTTTGAGTGAAAACCTCCTTCCATCAACAAGGGCATAGGAGATGATACATGGCTGAGTCTTTCAGTATGACAATCGAAACACACCACACATGCAAAGGAGTGGCTTTGTAAAAAGGTCCTGGAGTGGCCAAGCCAGTCTCCAGATTTCAACCACAAAGAAAATCTTTGTAGGAAGTTGAAAGTCTGTATTGCCCAGTGACAGCTCAAAAACAACACTGCTCTAGAGGAGATCTGCATAAATGAATGGGCCAAAATACCAGCAAGAGTGTATGAAAACCTTGTAAAGACTTATGCTGAGTTCAGACTGCATAATTTTCAAATGATATTTCCACAATGCATGATTCTCTGGGTTAGCGTTCTGTCTGTGCTGTGTTTACACTGTAGGATGGATCGGCACAGGAGAGTTCACACTGCAGGACTTTAAAATAGGAAGAATCACAGACAGCTTTGTCCAAACTACGTCTCACAACCAAACAAACGCAAGAAGTAAAATGTAAACAACGCAAGGTCACGTAATATTTCTTTCGTTATTAACTACATAATGGAAAAAGAAGGCTTTAGCTTTAGAAATTTGTGCTGCTCACCTGGCTTTTGAAGAGAATTAACAATCTCTCCTCAACTTTTTTTTCCTTTTTAACCTGGTTGTAATATTGCTTAAATGATACGTAAAACAAATATACACTAGTTTTTCCTCAATTTCTTGGGTCCAAATAAATGGAAAATAAGCGCTTTTAACTTCTTCCTCAGCCTCCCGCTGGCCTGCAGGTACCTTTACTAGTCAATGCTGCCCTCTTATAGGCTGTAGGTGATCGGGGATGTTATTTTCAATCAGAAAACATTTCACATGGCATGATTTGAATTGCTGACAGCTCCAGATATTTAGCATGCCAAATATCTCACAGGTGTCGGCGACTCATCAGCAATCTCTCATATCGCATCCTTGATAGTTCATACTGTGTGATTGTCACTCACATGAACGAGCACAGATTTGACTGTGATTTGAGGCATTTGTCGCGCGATTTCTCAAAATCTGTCAGCAAGTCAAAATCAGGGCTAATATCTGAACTTGGCATTACAGAAAACGTTTGACCTTTGCCATCTCCAGCAAAGGGTATATAACAAAGTATTGAGATGAAATGTTGTTATTGACCAAATACTTATTTTCCTTCATAATTTGCAAATTAATTCATTGAAAATCCTAAAATGTGATTTTCTGGATTATATTCTCATTTTGTCTCTCATAATTGAGACATATGATGTAAATTACAGGCCTCTCTCATCTTTTTTAAGTAGGAGAACTTGGACAACTGGTGGCTGACTAAATACTTTTTTGCCCCACTGTATATAGGCTTATTTAGAGAACATTCAGTACTTCTCTGGTTTCAGATCTCTGTAAATGATGCCCAGTCCATGCAGATGATCCAGAGCCAAAGCCAGTTCGGCCAAATAAAACTTCACATCCTCTTCAGTGAACATCACCTGAGCAGAGGAAAAAAAAGAACAGAAAAAAGTATAGAGTATGCTTCACATCTTAATCAGCCAGAACACAACTTTAACACTTCAACACTGGTCAAAAATTTAAAAAGTGATTTGTCAATTTTGTGTATCATTATTACCCTAAACCATTCATTAAATACCTCTTTTGACAGTCGAGTAAAGAGATCGCCTCCTCTTAAGAAGTCCAGAATCAGATAAAGCTTTCCTTCGGTCTGGAATGCTGTGAGAGAAAAGCGGATGTGTTCACTGGTAAACACAACATTAAATCAGCAGCTGCTCTTCATTCAGATTGGCTAATGATGACCAGCGCTCACCATAGTGTAGCTTAACAATAAAGGGATGATTAACCTCCACCAGGATGTCCCGCTCCATCTTAGTCCGGACCTGATCCCGTACTGAAAACACACGCATAAATAACAACACTTGAGTTTACTTCTATTAAGTTCACTAACAATGTTTTCTCTCCACTTTAACAGCCCCCCTCCTCCCTACGTCCAGGAATCTGGCACAACACAATTACGCAGATGGCAATGGATGACTAATTAAATAAAAGAGGGGGAAAATGCAGCGCAGGGGAGAGACAAGAGAAGCTGAGAGCTGAAGGGAGAAGAGAATCACTTTACTCATGTGGGTGAAGATGTTGATCATCAGGAGGGACATGGATTTAGAGTTTTAAGGCGAGACACTACAGGTTTTTCTTTTTTTTCAGTTTAATGTAGTTTTTTATTTTTTAGTGTTTTACTTGTCACATTTATCAATTTGTGCCTCTAAATTTGAAATAAAATCTAGATGTTTAAAGGCTATTTTCTCAAAATGAATATTTTCTCCTAAAATGAGTTGTACAAATTCCCTTTAGCAGCACTTACATATAGCAGACCATGTTTTTTATTCATATCAGCGTTCTTAGGTTTTATACAAAGTGATATCTTCATGTATAGCATGCCTAATTACATACAACTTTGTTTTAACCAAGAAAAAAATATCTGGATTTTGTTCTTGCTGTTTTAAAGGGACCATATACTGCATTTGTTCAATAAGTTAAATTGTTCTCTGATATCTACATAGACTTTTGTTTTGAAATCTGGCACGTTTCCCCATTAGCTTGGTTCATTTGGCATATTTGAAACCAGCAATCGCGCTTGGATCCATGCCAAGACAATCGGTCCGAGGTCGTCTTAATATGGTGGTCTTTGCTCAATTTAAAAGTACTCTAGAGCGAATTGATTATATAGAAAGAAAGCAATCTGATCCAACAAACTAATAAATCAGGCTATATCACAATGTATTATGGATACGTAATAGCCACATATACGGCTATATGAAGAGAGAATTAAGAGTAGGGCGGGATGTCATTCCTACCGGTAAATGTGTGTTTCATGTCAAATACGAAAGTGAAAGCATGTTAAACTTTTAACGAGAGCTGTTTATCTAAATTGACTAAACTGCAGTCTTGGTTTATCTGTTATTTCTCCCTATAGATCCTTTTAAGGGATGTAAACAAAAACAATGGTCCCAACATATTTCCTGCTTTACAATTTTTATTTCTATAGCTTCCAAGAATCCAAAAAGAGCCACATTGATAAATAATGTTATGATAGCTGTTTTAACATTAAGTTATTATTGATCTGCCTCTTGTTACAGTTATGAAATAGTTGATGACAAGCAGAAAACGTTCTTGGGCCAATGGCATGACCACATTGAAACGGTCTATAACGTTAAGCCTTTAATGCATAATTCTAGTCAACAGCTATGTGTGAGAAAGTCTTACCTCTGATTTATGTTTAACGACATCTGTGGGTGTCACCATTCAAAGTTAAAGCACAGCTTTTCGCTGATAATGTCTTACTGCTCATCGTCATAAATTAAAATAAGGACACTTGACAGCTGAGCGGGACTCTAAAAAAATAAACCCTGAAACTCTGACCAATGAGAGGAGAGTTTCTCTCTTGTATTAGCTGTTTTGGTCCGTTTAGATACTTTGGAGTGTGAAAGCGTATCACACCAAAAACAAAGTGCAACACTAACAATTTTAATCCCTGTTTTGGAGAAAAAACAATCAATCTACAGGTGTGAAATCACTCTAAGTATGAGGCAAGTAAATGAGGCAAATAAAAAAATCTCCAGAAATGGTTTTATATGTTGATTTATTACTCCATAAAATCCCCCTAGAGAAGCTTTATATTGACCATTTTTGGATCAGTTGTGAATGTTAATGAGCTCCGCTCTCAGCCACACGGACTCATAAATGTAAAATCTATAAATCCTGCAATTTACATGCTAATGTGAGTTTGATGTTTCATGCAGTCGTTGTTTAGTAACATATAGTACACATTTTGCATCTCCCATTTTCAAAATAAAAGTCCCACTTTCATATCAGTGTTGGGGGTAACACGTTCAATCAACATCTTTTATGTGTATATCCAAAATGTGCATAAAAATAGGGGGATGGAAACATAGCTACTGTCAACTGTAGAAGCAACTATGCTATAAAATACGCTGTAAACGCAATTTATTCAATGTATGAAGCTCAAATATTTATTTTGATTTGAAGATTTTCTCAATCGTCTTTGTGTTCATTTTGTTAATAAACATTTTAAAGGTTTAAAATCTGTTTTTGCCTTAATATAAATTATTTCATGTTAGTCCTCTTGAGCTTTATTACAATCTTTATCTCAATGGACAATGAATTAACTTAACTAATAACACAAAACAAAAGTAGCAAACACATAAATTTACATGTTTTCATTAATCTCTATCTACAGTGTGTTAGCTCTGGGCTCAGAAAGTTATTAAAATATAATTTGAACCTACATTTTTTTTTTAAAGAAAAATGAAGGTGTAGATTATACCGGTGGCTGTTAAATGCAGAGCTTCTCTTTAAAAAAAGGTCAAAAAACACCTGCAAGTTCTGAAAAAGATCAAAATTCAGCCAGGTAAGGAAAAGTAACGCAAAAGTAACCCAAAAGTAACATAACATAACACTGCTTTCCATAAAAAGTAACTAAGTGACACAAATTTTTTGGGGGAGTAACTCAATATTGTAATGCAATGCTTTCAAAAGTAATTTTCCCCAACACTGATACACAGTAAGTTAAAAATAAATGTAAAAATAACTATGGGGAAAAATGGTTATTGTTGTCTCTATTGTTAGGAAACGTTATGGCTTATCAAATGCAGTCAAAGGCTTGTATATTATTGAAGTCTTTTGGGTAATGATCTCCTGATGACGCGGCTGCTCGTCACGACTGGATGATATAAAACCAGACCTAAAGTACATTCAAATGCTGAGGGCATGCCCTGTGAGTCAAGCAACAGTCTGTTTTGTGTTCAGATTGGCCTTTTGTCCTCCAGGGTTTTTTTTGTTATTAAAATGTATGAAAATAACCTCCTTTTTAACAACATAATGTCTTGTTTGCATATGCATACAGACTTTCAGAAAATGTCTTAACGCAATTACTCATATGGTGATAACTATTAGTGCATTTTTTTATTCCTTTTTACACCTGCAGTGTCTTGTTTAAAAAGCTACAACTGAGAATTAACCATGCTAAAACACTGGAATAAACAACTTAAACTGGTTATTATGGTAAAGATGAACGCTTAGAAGGCATTTTGTAGTCTGAAGTGCAACATGTTAATGAGGCTTCTGAAATGCCTTTAAAATCTTAAAGCCTAAAATTAACACTCATCAAGTGCCAGATGGGAGTAAAATCATTGCTGGCCAGTAGTATAGAGAAGAGTTTTACTCTCCAGTTGCCTGGTAACTTGCTTCTATTAATTCTAGCAATAAAAAATATGATTTGATTCAAACCACCCTGCAATTTTTTTAATCAGAAGGATGTTGTCAACAAAAGAAAATGATTTTAAAATATAGGTTTTCTATTGATGGTGATAATAATATCAATATTAATAGGTAATTGTTAAAAATATGTTAGTATTTTAGTTTAATAGATTAATAGTATTATAAATGGTATTTCTTACAGGTTTGTTTTATTATCTAATAAAAAATAAAAATAAAAAAAAAAATAAAAAAAAAATTTGATATATTTTACCAGTTTGTTTGGTCTGTTTTTAGTAAAATTTCACTGCTGGCACAAATATTTATAGCTATTTTATTTTGACGTGTTACAAATATTAGTTTTAGGCTTACGCTGTCTACTATTAAAACGGTAGTAGAATTAGACATAAAATGATTTGTCCATGCATAAAATAGCACTGGCTTCTGAAAACCTCAAATTGGTTGACTAAATACCTTTCAGGGTTGCTTTTTTCAGCACTTTCATTGCATACAGCTGTCCTGCATCCGGCCCTGTTGTTTTCTTCACCAAAAACACCTGCAACACACACACAGAAATCAAGGCTTCATCAAAACAACACTAAAGAGCACTTTAAACCAGGAGCTATTTTACTCATCAGTTCTTCTTGAAAACACAATTAGTCCTGTGCTTTATTGTTATACTGTAACTATAGTGACCGTGTCCAGTTCCATGTGCAATTATACTGAGATTGTCCCTAAAATATGTTTTTTTTTCTGTGACCGACTCAGGCATTTATCTGTGCTGATTACCTCTCAAAGCACAACATACACACAAACACACTAAAAATATACTTGCATAAGTGGGTGGTTATGACCAAAATCTTATATCACTGTATGAGTAATTTTAAAATCAGAAACATGAACACAAATCATTTTTTGAGGGTATTCCTTTGTGACAGTACATAATATTTTACTAGATATTTTCAAGATACTAGCATTCAGCCTCACACATACATATGTGTGTATATAATTTTTTCTACTTATATACAGTAGAAGTCTTATTATTAGCCCCTTTTAAATTTGTTTTCTTTTATAAATATTTCTCTAATTACGTTTAACAGAACAATGACATTTTCACAGTATGTCTGATAATATTTTTTCTTCTGGATAAGTCTAATTTGTTTTATTTCGGCTATAATAACAGCACTTATTAATTTTTCAAACATATTTTTAAGGACAAAACTATTAGCCCCTTTAAGCTATATATTTTTTCGATATACAGAACCAACCATCGTTATACAATAACTTGCCTAATTACCCTAACCTGCCTAGTTAACCTAATTAACCTAATTAAGCCTTTAAATGTCACTTTAAGCTGAATAGAAGAGTCTTGAAAAATATCTAGTCAAATATTATTTACTGTCATCATGGCAAACATAAAATAAATTAGAATTGAGAATTGAAATTATTAACTATAAACAATGGGGGGGGGGTGTGGGGGGTGATGCAGTGGCACTGTGGGTAGCACATTCGCCTCACAGCAAGAAGGTTGCTGGGTCTCTGGTTCGAGCCTCGGCTCAGTTGGCGTTTCTGTGTGGAGTTTGCATGTTCTCCCTGCATTCGCCTGGGTTTCCCCCTGGGTGCTCCGGTTTCCCCCAAGTCCAAAGACATGTGGTACAGGTGAATTGGGTAAGCTAAATTGTCCGTAGTACATGAGTGTGTGTGTGTGGATGTTTCCCAGAGATGGGTTGCGGCTGGAAGGGCATCTGCTGCGTAAAAACCTTGCTGGATAAGTTGGCGGTTCATTCCGCTGTGGAGACACCGGGTTAATAAAGGGACTAAGCCGACAAGAAAATAAATGAATGAATAAACAGGGGGGCTAATAATTCAGGGGGGTAAAAATTCTGACTGTATATGTTATATACACAAATATGCACACTTTTGCATATATATATGCAAAATTGTCAGCAAATTTCTGGGAATTACCACCACATTTTATTGCAAAAAAGAAAAAGAAAAAAAAAAGAAAAATTTGTAAAAATCTAGGGGGTTCATTCATTCATTCATCTTCTGCCGCTTTTCCGGGGCCGGGTCGCGAGAGCAGCAGTCTTAGAAGAGAACCCCAAACTTCCCTTTCCCCAGAAACTTCCTCCAGCTCCTCCGGGGAGATCCCAAGGCGTTCCCAGGCCAGCCGAGAGACATAGTCCCTCCAGCGTGTCCTGGGTCTTCCCCGAGGCAGCCTCCCGGTGGGACATGCATGGAACACCTCCCTATGTAGGCGTCCAGGAGGCATCAGAAACAGATGCCCGAACCACCTCAGCATTTATTTTACTTCTTGAACCAAAACTTAAATTACGACCTAAACTTAAAATATGCAGATATGTATTTTACTTTTCATTTTTGCCTTTATTAAGTGGATAGGACAGTATTTCAGACTGAAAGAGAAGTGTGAGAGAGAGGGGGTAGGGATTGGAAATGTCCTCAAGCCGGGATTTGAACTCGGTACGCCCTAAAGCGCTGCTTCACCATATGTCAGCGCACTGACCACTAAGCTATTGTGCCAACAATATGCATTTTTTAAGTTATCAAAAACAGTTTAATACATTTATATAACAAAAACAGCACTGATCTATGCTCTGCCTTTACATACTGTATATACTGTGAAAACACACTTCACAGTACAACCCTGATGTGATGTACCTTTCCAAAAGAGCCTTGTCCGAGCACTTTACGGAGCTCAAACTGCTGTGGGTCGGCCTTCTCTGAGCCCTCTTTAACAAGATGTGTGATGTTGATCTCTTTAACAGACACTTCTTCCTGGAGAGAAAACAACAAGAAGAAAACAAAGAGTCAGTTACATCAGCGAACAAAACTGACGGCAGAAATTTATAATAAATAAATACATTTTTATTTATTAAATTAACATTCATTTGTACAATACAAGAAACACAATTATTGCAATACTTAGTCATACTTGTCAACATCAGTCAACGAAAATACAGTTGCTTAATGTTAGTCCTAGTTAACTTATGGTGTATTAAATAAAATGCATTAACACCACATTGGATCTTAATAACGTATTAGTAAATGTTGAAATTTACATCCACTATGACCAATACCAGCGTGGTTCATTCATAATTTATAATAGTAATTACATGAACTAATGAACACTTATTAAAAAAGTATAAACATTTAACCTTTATTTAAATAGGCAAATCATCACTAGGCAAAACAGTCTAGAGACAGAATTAACATATCCTGAGAGATACAAACATACATTAAAATACAAATATGACAACATGGAAAGAAAATGTGAAGAAGAAAAAACAGTTGCGTGCTCAGAAGCATGTATTAAATACTCCAGTGATAGACCGCTAGAGAGAAAACACTACTGAAATTCACCAGAAACCAACAATACACCCAAATCACTGAATACACGAATGGAATACAGTCACAAACGCATCACTCTCACCCACGCCACGCACATCACAGCAATGCCCCGTCATGTCCAACATGTTTCCGGGCCCAACTTGGGGCTCATCCCCATGCTCCATGCCTGCGGGAGGGAGGAGGGCTTAAAACCCTCGATGCCCCTGCCGCGGGTGCCTGTTGCTGGACTTCTGATGCACACTGAGAGACTAGAAGACGAAACTCAGTAGAGGAGATGGTGTGACGGGCAGCTTCCCACACGGTTACCATGATGCCGCCCCCAATCCTCCTGCTCTATCATGTGGAGAAGGGTGACTAAAGACTCAACGTTCAAGCTCTTCTTTCCTCCCACTCTCTCTCTCTCTCTCTTTCCAGCCATTTCTCTTTGTCTCCCTCACTGATCCATCAGCGTTCCATCTCCACACAGTGAGATGATGTCATGCTATGTTGGCGTAGCGGCCGAGTTGTCTCTCATCAAAGTTTATGGGCAGAGAGGGTCCTTTATCCCTCAGTGTATTGAGACCCAAACAATGCTCCACTATGACAACACACATTATTTATGTTCAAACGAAATTAGATAAAAAAAAAAAAAATTATAAAAAAAAAAAAACTCATCATAATTATATTTTGGGTGACTGACTGAAGTAAATTCAGCATCTGGTTGACACCATGGGCGTGTCTCAATGAGCTCCCTGATTAGGGTGCAGGCCATTTTTAAAGGTTATGTTATTAATTACTTACACACACTTTTTTCGTCTTCAGAACACAATTAAAATATTTCGGTGAAATCGGAGAGCTCTTTCATTCTCCGTAGACAGCAAGGTTTCAGACTCAGGTTAAGGTCCAGAAATGTACCAAAAAACAGGCCTTCAGTGGTTCGAGCGGAAGATTATTAAACAAAGAGAATATTTCTGTGTTTAGATAAAAAAAAGACTTTAATCAACAGTTTCTTCCTCTCAGTGTCAGTATATTGTGTTACAACCCTATGGTTGTGATATTTTATCTATCATCTGTCTCTCTACCTAAAAAGTGTCTTGATTGGCCACTTCAGACTGGTTTCTTGCTCTGGATTGGCTTATAGAATAAAAGTGTAAGTTTTTTTTATTAAAATACTACATACAGAGTCATATAGAACCAGATATGAGTTTCTAGGACTTCAACACATTACAGGTACGCTCAGTGAATACAATCTTAACAAATCACTCAGATCATTAGGATCATATAAACTAGAAGTGCCAAGGGTTTTACTTAAAGCAGGGCGAATTCGACTTCATCTACTACCTTGCCTACTTTGCCTGTTTGACACAGATTTTTTGGATTGTCCCTCAAATTTGGTTGCTTGTTTTTGTAAATAGTTTGTAAATATTGTATATTATGATAGTAAGGAATCTGATGCCAGTTTATTTGTAAAAAAGTTTTTGATCTCTGTTTTTGTGTTAGGTAGTTAGGGTAGTTAATTGTATTTTCTTTTCTTTCATTTAAACTCAATAAATTTTGATTTCATTTTTTCTTTGTCTTGTCTTATACTTTCATGTTGTGCTCCGTCCTTAGACGGTGCAGGCTCACTCATTGAAAAGCCAACAACGCAATTTAAAGACCTGGTAGCTGGTGGAATTGTTGAGGGTATATAAACTAAAGCTTTACTGTATAGATGCTCTTTTAAAAACATTACAACATTAATGTCTGAATCAGTTCTGTTGTTTTTCATAAGTGCCAGTAATAGCTTTGTATAATTTTGTTGTCACTATCAATGTCCCTATGTGTAGTGAGCAAAACTGTCCTTACCCTACAACATGGGTCTCAAACTGGATTCCTGGAGGGCGGCAGTTCTGCACAGTTTTACTCCAACCCTAATCTAACACAGCTGATCCAACTAATTTAGGTGTTCAAGACTATTTAAGAAATTATTAAGCAGGTGTGAGGTGGTTGAAGCTAAACTCTGCAGAGCTTTAGCCCTCCAGGAATTGAGTTTGAGACTATTGCTCTACACAAATTCCTGTAAACAAAACATACTAATTCAAAACATAGAAAGTTAGGTAGCTGATTGATGTATATATTGGATAGGCATCGGCCTGTTTTTGAAACTGAACATATAATGCATGCATGGCTTGCCCGTGTGTTTGAATTGTTTTCACACTAATTAGTTTGCCCACAAGGTGTCAGCACTAATGCGGATGTTGTTGCACAAACATAAAAGAAGCTGAGACAATACAAGAACAACAAATTACGGAGCGTATACTGAGGCCAGTCAAGCCTTCAATGTTATATAAATACCTTTTTTCTAATTATCTCATTTATTATCCACAAGGGAATTATTTTAAACCTGAAAGCCTAGAACCACCGTTTTTGTTGTTAATTAAAACAAAAAAAAAATCTTAAAAAGTAACAATAAATAAATATAATAAATGTAAATTTTTACACAAGTAAATAAATAGACTCAGTAATGGGGTAAAAATCTGCAGAAATTTGCATGTGCAGATTCCGTGTGGGGCTATAGGTGTGTTTTGAGAATAAACCAATCAGAGTCTAATTTCCCATTTCCTTTTAAGACTCAGTTGCTTCACACCATGGCACATTGGCTATTTACATGGTGGACTTTGTAAGTGGAAAAACTAAACGCTTCACTAGCGAGAAAACGGTTAAATAGACCATCTGCAGCTTGAGAATGAGAGAATAAGCCTCTTCAGTCTTTTCTTTCACTTTCACTCTCTTTCGTGGATAAGGAAACATGTTGTATGCACAGACATCCAAAAGCCTTAATATAATTTATTTCATTTGATAATCGCAAAGGTTTGTTTCAAAACTTTTTCTAAATTCAGTTCTAATTTCCAGCAAACAAATAAATGAACAATAATAATGAAGTGTGGTCAAACCTGACAGGTGGGCAAATCTAAGCTTGTTTTTAATAAAACAAATTTATAAAACAAATACTACTACTACTACTAATAACATTATACAAAAGCAAATTGTCATAAACTGAAAAAAGCCCTCCGAGACGAAGAAGGCATGAAAGCAGTGGTTTTTATATTTATGTAGAAAATAATATTTTTTGACCACTCAGCTCTCAGCTGGTCTATTGTTCATTCTATTTTTGATTCTCAAAATTGCAATGCGCCAACAATGCGCCTTAACACTCCTCTTATCTAGACGAAAACACCCCAAGTCCACAAAGTGGCGCAAATGAATTTGCTATTTAAACAATGTGGCGGAAAACAGGAAAATTATGGTTTGAAAATTGAAATAAGTCATAGAAACACGTCTTGCGCCTTTTTGTGCCGAGTGTATGATAGGGCCCGATATATGCAAACCTGCTGAAAAAACCCTGCCAAAATGTGCAAGTATACACACTTCACAAGCGCAATGTGTTTGCAATGCATGCAGCCTTCAATTTGGAGAATGACAAATGAATCATAATCAATCCCAAATCTGCATAATGAGTCATTTGATTGAACTGCCAAAAGCCAAGGCACTTTGAGCACGAACTGTCATCAGAGCGAACATTAATTATTGCCCACAGCATTCTGTTTTCTACTTTATACAACAAAGGCAAAAACCCATTACATGCTCCAAGATTTTCTACAATCACTTGCGTAAAGTCCACCTCCTCGATGAACCCCAATTTCCACCCGTCTCCAGTGTTATCTCTAAAGCCGCCAGAGCCATAAATACCTCTGAGTCCCACGGTGAACGATGTGGAAGTGAGGCCAGCGAATCCTCCATCCTGTTCCAGCCCAAATCAGTCTGGCATGGTGTCAGCCTGGGCTCCCTCAGAGCGGCCAGCATCCTGCCATGAGGTCCGGCCAGCCCTGGTATCGTTTTTAACCTCTCTGTCACTTCCTGAATCCCCACAGGCAGATCTATCGTGTGACGTGTCGCCCTCTTAGGCTAGTCCAGTCTGGGGAAACTGTGTCTAGCACCTAAGTTGCGTATTTCCCTGAAGGAAGGTCTGGCGAGATAGATAGAAACCCAAATGGACTACACTTCAGATCTTGCTGTATAGCATGGAGAAGGTTCGGCTCTTCTGTGGAAGCATCCAGAAGTCTACAAAGCTCTGTTTTGCTGAAGAGGAAATAATGGAATCAATTCATGAATCTATGTTTACCTACACTGTATTAAACACATCCAAGCATTCAAGAAGTAGCAGCTCCCGCCTCTTTCCTCGCTCTTGCTGAGCATAATTCACACCTCATCTCAATGCCACCAAGAATGGAAATTGATCCTTCATATTGAGAACGAGCTGCTATCGCTTTGGGGGCCAAGCGGAAGATGATAGAAATGCAAGAAGTGGCATTTAAGTTGGACTGTTTCAAACTAGAAATCAGATCCATGAATGAATGGCTGTTGTCTGTTGTCCTGCAGTGTGTGTGAGTGTGATGGAGGCGTTGTGT